GGAGCTGTGTGCACCTTGCACCGGAATAGTGTCAGAATTGCACCTTAAGAAAAATTCCGAATCTCTCATTTTCACTCCCAGCCCGTTTGTTGCCCTTAAGCAAACACTATCTCTTATGCTCTTAGGAGAGCTGCTTTGAGTAAAGCGCAGCCAATACTGAAGAATGAGTGTTAGTAAAACTACTTTTATTCTCTGCTCACACGCCACCTTCTTCCCCCGTCTTTTCTTCCAGATGCTTCTCCTAGACGTTCACAGTCATTGGTTCAACTAGTCAACTTAGTGACTCAAATGGTCAAGCTATGGTTAATAAAAGAGTACAGCATTGGCAAAGGAAATCGTGCACACAGTGGGCGCTCAAAGTCATTTTGTTCACTCTGCGCTCCGTGAACAGTGTGTGACCAATAGGTGCGGTGCTGGAATCTGACCGCCGCCAGCCCAGGCTACCCGCGGGATCCGGCTTCGAGATTCCAGGATTTGTATTTATCAGCCTCATTCAACCTGCCCTATTGTTAGTTCAAAGCTGGGCTGGGAGGGACTGCGAGACTGTGCTTCACTCACCTTCAGTTTAAAATTCTCAACCAATAAGAAGGTCCTAGAAAAGCTGGTAGCTTGGGGTTGGCAGGGATTTTGTGGGCTTAGTGACAACATAAACTAAAGTCATGTTGTTTTTCAAGCGTGAATTTAGTTTGGAAGTTAACAAATGAGAGCCCCAGCCGAGACTGTGAGCACCGCCGCCAGTGCGCACTGATGGACAGTTGATGGGGGTGGGGTGGGGGTGGAGAGTGCTTCGGGGGGCGGGTTTTAGCGCCGTGACCTCTGCGAGCAGGATCTAGGGTTTCACCTTTTCATCCCATTTAGCTGATACCATAGAAACAACCCATTTGTATTATTCAATTCTAGCGAGCCAATTACAATGTCACAGCGAAGCATCGTGGGCACGAAGACTTTATCTTGAAGACAACCTAGGACTCTCAGAAAAAGGAAAAAACAGCAGAATAGAAACCTAAATTTCTTCCTGCCAGTGTACCAGAAAGAAGTCACTTTGGAAGAAGATATAGAAGATCCTTTGGCACCATAAAAAGGAATTTGCCCTACATAGCCTTTTTTTTCAACATGCCCACATACAAGTCCCCAATTTATAAGAAATAAAACAGATAATCCTTGTACCCTAAATGCTATTTGTTTTGTAGCTGTGTGCTTTGTGAATTTTTGCAAGCAGAGAAAGAGAATATCCCTGAAACAACCACGGAAGTGAGCCTGTCCCTCCTCCTGTTTGTCTTTCTCATAAATGAAAAACCACAGATGCACATGTTGAAATAAGCTGAGTCACAAAACTCATAACAAGAGCACTAGTTTGCTATGGATTCTTTATTTTGATAGACTTATTCAATTGCATAATTGTATGAACTTTGACATTTTTTAATTATGCAATATTTCAAACCTACCGAAAACAAGACACACACTCAGGATTCCCCATACCTTCTTTTTCAAATAAAACTTTACACATACAGTTAAAACCCATCCCCTGGTCCGTCTCCTTCGTTTCCTCCCCAAAAACAATCATTCTGAAGTGAATCATGTACTTAAGTAAGTAAGGTATTAAGGGTTTAAGACATAGGTATAGATTCCCTTAAATCGTTTAATGTAGGTTTTCCATGAGGGTTTTTTTAGACCATTAATCAGAAGATGAAACCAAAAAAATGTCACATTGCTAAGTTTTTAGAAGCAGAGCACTTTTTTTCCCCCTGTTTGTGACAATAAGCGTGAATAATAACAAAGGGATTAGACAGTGGGCAGTAAACAGCTCTCTAGGTTACACAAATCCTTCCATGGTTACCAAAAGGTCAATAGAAAAACAAAACAATACCCCCTTCCTTTACTGGGTATAGGGGAATTGAAGAAAATGGAACCAAGGTTAACAGTTTTTGAGCAAGTGTAACACAGATGGACTACCGGTTGATAAAAGCACTTTTTCTCATGGTGTCTCTAGCCTATGTATGATAGTCACCACTTTTCCAAAAGTAAGGGACTCGGGGGTCTTCAGGTTGAAATCAGCCCTGCTGAGAATTGTGAGGTTGAATCCTTCCTGTTTCCCCTACATGGGACCTCCACTTATGCAGTCACAGAAAGCAGCTTGCAGGGCTTTGACTTAACCTCCTCCTGCAGTAAAAGGGCTCTGAAATCACCAATTTTTCTCAAATGCCACCGACTGGTGAAAGACATCCTTCCCCACCCCCACTTTCCTCTAGCTTCTAAAGGGATGACTCTCATTAATTATACTGGCACAGCGCTGCCTGGCCTCTTCTACAGAGCTTCCAGATTTCCACATATCACCGCGCCTTCATGCAGAATGTGTACTGACACCAGGATTACAGAAAATCCTGCAAAAGGGGCCTGATACCCTATAAGATGATTGATGTGCCTTTGTGAGAGGCCTCCCACTGTGCTGCAGTCATAGGGGGTTTCTAACAAAACTGCAGTAGGAAACTGTGTTGGAAGTAGATTTTTCTAACCCTATGAAAATGCTTTCCATTGCAAGAATTGTCATTTCCATACTCAAATTTAACCAATAATTACCATGAAGCAAAAAAGTGAAGAAAATGAATGTTATCCTAATTTTAATCAACGTTCCAAGAATTAAAGGGAACAAGCAAAGGACTTATGGAGAGGTTCTTGCTCTTTTAACACGTATTTTTTTTTTAAGATTTATTTACTTATGCATACAGAACTGGGGTACAGGCCAGAGGTGTGAGGTTGGTGGGGAGAGGATTCACTAGAGACAGAATGGGGAGAACTCTGTCTCTGGTGGGCCCTCTCAGCACCCCCACACCTCTGGCCTGTACTCCAGTTATGTATGCATAAATAAAAATAACTCTTAAAATATATATATATACATATATATGTAATTAAAAGAAAAGCATAACTTTCAAAACTTATCCAATTGCAGACCAGTCATCTAATAAAGGAATCATCATTCTAGATATTGAATAAAAGTTTAGGAAAATAAAGAAACTAGTAAAATAATGGGAATTCTTCGATTTGAAAATTGAAGGGGAAAGGAAGCAATGGCAATTTATACCACAAGAAAAATCCTACTGAGAACCCTAAGTGGGCCTATGTACACTATTAACTGCCTGGGTTTTGTTAACCAAAAAACAGATGATTGGATTTACAAAGGGACAATTACATTTGAAAAACTATGTTCATTTTGGTTTCATTCGTTTGCATATATACGATTTATCCAAAATAGTTTTAAATTTGTCAGGTTTTTAAAATTTTTCTTTCAGACCATTTAAGGCAAATTAATCTTCATGGTTCATGAAACATAGGAGAAATGACGGCAAAATAAATTCCCAAGATGAAAAAGCAAGATTTTTATTGATCCATTTCTTTATTTCCATACCTAGAAAATATTAAGAGCACCCCCAATATGAACAAGAAACCGCGCTGAATGTTTAAAGGGAGCAGAAATAATCCCAACTCAAATAAGGCATGGTTTGACTGCCTGTACCTTGGCAGTCAAAAAGGTAGGCCATTACAATGTGACAAGTGCTAAAACAGAAATAAGTAGTGTTGTGCAAGAACAGAAGAGGGCGCTACTTACTCAATTTCATTCCTAGTTAAGGTGTCTACAAGTGGCATTCCTTTGTTTTGTTTTAACAAGGGTATTCTGATAAACCAAAACAGGAAGTAGAAGTGATGGTCCTAGTACTTCGATTTTTTGAATCCTCATTGTTGTCACTTTAGCTATAAAAATCTATTCATCAGACAAATCTATTCATCAAGCTTCCTTAAAAGCATTCTAGAAAATGAGCTCTGTGGTACATATTACTGCATTCAAGTATCTACATCTCCACTCCATGCATCTCCTTCCTTCCATGGCCCCAAAACCCAAAGCCTTCCGTAGGTCTCTCTGTTCACATGCCTCCTCCAGCCTTCTGTGTTCAAATTTCCTTTCCAAGTTCCCTACTGCTCAGCTCCACTCTTCCGTAGGTGGGCAGGGTACATGGAAACTCCCCTTTTTATAGATTACTCTCTAACTCTAACCATCATCTCTGACACCCACACCACAAATCAGAGCCCCAACCATCTGCCCCCAGCAGCCACCACTGCCCCTTAGTCTCTGCACCAAACCTTTTAAATGACAACTGAGCAATAAATGATTCTGCTGGGACCCTGAACTCTGGAAATGCTATATTGTTTCTTGGCTATGAGAGTGATTGTTTTCAAATCGATGGCCTGAAACGGGAAGGACTGTGTCGTTAATATGACCCTTGACAGCACATGGCGTTAGATCACCTCAGGGGAAGACTCAGATCTCAAGTCCTTGGTGAGGAACCAACATGCCTGGCAGATTCAGAAAAGAATACAGTTCTTGGCACATTATCCACCTGCTTCACAGGCAGGTAATTCCCAAAAGCAGGTTTTCAGAGTGTACCAGGTTGTTGTGAGGTACTGTCCAGGATCTTCACTACTCACCAGACAGCAGGAACGATGTCAAAGACAGAATTCTTGGGTCCTCCTTGGTGACACAACAGGTTAAAGCACAGCACTATGAAGCCATAGCAGCCACTGCAGCACGAATTCGATCCCGGCTAGGAAGGAAGTGATCCAAATGGCGTGGCCGACCTCTCCTGACCCGCCCACTGTTACCCTCAGCAGTATACTTCAGTAGAGCTGTGTGTTCTGCTCCCCACTCTGTCTCTGATGACTCTTCTCACCCCCCACACCTCTGGCCTGTACCCCAGTTCTTGTATGCATAAATTTATGTACTTATGCGTATATAAATACATCTCATTTATGCATTGTGTGTAAATAATCTTACTATTTATACAATTGTTCATGCATATATTATGCATAAATAAATGAATCTTGTTTATTTATACAAGAACTGGGGTATAGGCCAGAGGTAGGGGGGGGAGTAAAAGACTCTTCAGAGACAGAGTGGGGAGCAAGACAGGCAGGCAGGTCTACTGAAATACACTGCTCAGGGGAGCAGAGAGCCAACAGAGAGATCTGCTGTGCCATGTGGGTTGGCTGACTCCCTTGCCAGGGACTAAACTCCTGCTGCAGTGGCTGCTGATAGCTTCATAGTGTGTTGCATCTTTAACCCTTGTGCCACCAGGGGGGTCCCCATCAGAATGATTTTAGAAAGAGGATGTGTGTCTGTCAAATTCTCACACCAAATCAATCTGTCCTTAAAAATAAACTTACTGGGTCACATACTGAGAAACTAGAAGGCAAGAAACTTCAAGAACTGGTTATTTTAGGGGCTTGACAAAATCATAAGGTGTCTCTAATCTTTTTTGCCTGTGCGTTGCCATCCTCAGCAAGTATTTTGTCCTCAGGATTATCCCCCCGGGGGGGCGGGGGGGGGCGGGGAATGACTGGAGAAATGTGCCATTCTTCTCTTCCGGCACTGCCCCAAATTCACAAGCAGCTAGAAAGCAGCTGGAAGAAAAGAGTAGTCTCAGATAGAACTGCTAATAGGATCCCTTTACTATAAATAACCAAAAGTTGATGAAAAAGGAAAAATGATATTCCCATTAAGCAAAAATTGAATGTGTTTGCCCAAAGTTACTAAAATAACACAAAAATGATCATTAAACTTTCCTGTCAAATATTAGCATGGCATGTAAATATTTTTCATCCTTTTTATAGTGCTTACTTTTTCCAAAAGGTACATTTCATTAATCACAATTTGCTTAAATGACTGATATTATAACAATCATCTTAAATATCTAAATCTATTAGACTGCAACTTTGAAGGATGAGGCAAATTTCCATTTCAATTCAATTAAAAAAAAAAAGCCCACATATTTACATATTTTCCCTGTGTAGTCACTTCCAGACCTCTTGCAATATTTCACCCCTTTCTTCGAAAGTGTACGCGACTCACAAGTTCTCTAAACTTCAGTACTAAGGAGCAGTTACTCATGTTATCTTTCCAGGTTTCATGAGTCCTTCTAAATTTGTCATAATAACTTTCTTTTTTCAGGTTGAAATCTGACTCCATTCTTGTAAAGTAAGTGTCTTTTTTCCACATTTCTCTCCAGGAGTCTTTGAATTTTTCCAAATAGCTTTCTTTTTCAGATTCTTCCTTCCATATTCCTTCTCCTTTCTTTAAAGCTGTTAATTCGGCTTTAAGTAAATTTTTGTGAATTGTCCAGTAGATTTTAGAATCATGATTTAGACTTTTAACAAGAACAGTTTTGCCAAGGCCTCTTCTCAAAATTTCTTCGTTCAGACTCACACTAAAGTATCTACCCTTGAAGAAAATAAATAGTTATTTAAGAAAATTATTGGTTTACCCAAAAGCTTACTTTAAAATCAATCATTCAGCAATGTCAATCTCTTAGAGAAAAGTCAAAGATAGAATGTAAAAGGGACATTAAGAGCGTAAACAGCAAAATCCAAGAATTTCATTACATAGATAGTCTTGCTCAAAGTCAACTGCCTCTTTTACAACCTAGAGATCCCCACGAGCTCACTGATCTAACCAAAGAAGTTTAGAAGCAATCAAGTCTAAATGGCATTTTTGGAAATGTCTGTTGTTGTTTAGATGGGATTGGTGCATTGGGGATAGCAAATGACAGAGACCATAGCAAAAGAAACTAATGGAATGGAAAAATAATAAAAGTAGACAAATGCAAAATGAACTGAATCATCACTGAGCTGTTAAATTAGGTTCAGATGCCAGTGTTTAGGAAAGCACTCATGTCAATACATTTTAAAAATAATTCCCATACAATAATTAACATAAAAATAGTCCTGGCTCTGTAATCCTCATGCTCCCGGAAATTTCATTCACGGACTATCTCACTTCCTAATGAAATGAGATAAATAGGATTTCTTTCCCACTAATTTACAGTACAAAGGAGATTCTGCTTAGCTATTTCTATAGTCCTTTTGGGGTTTTAACCGAATTAAGACTAGTTTTATGAAAGCATTAAAAATTTGATAGTTTTATTCCACAAGTAATTCACAGTTAAGTTCTAAAAATTTGACAACTCCAGGCTTAGGTAGAAACCATTTTTGAAGACGGCCTAAAGAACTAAGGTATCCTTGTGTTTTTTATTCCTTTGAATGCAGTAACTTTTGGACATGATGATAAAAAGTTGATATAGGTTTGGGCCCTCCCTGGGGGTGTAACGGGTAAGGATGCAGCACTGTAAGCTAGCCACAGACACAGCCATTTCAGTGCAACTTCACTCCACCCTGTAGCTGATCCACATCGTGCAGCAGAACTCGTGTGACCAGCCTGCTGCTCCCTTCAACAATGTACCTCATTGATCTGCCTGTTCTGCTCCCCACTAGTGTCTCTGGTGAATTCTCTCATGGCCCCTGCACCTCTGGCCAGTACCCCAGTTGTGTATGCATAAAGAGATACATCTTTAAAATAAATAAATAAAATTTTGAGAAATAATTTTTTTAAGTTGATGCAGTTTAAAGAGCTTATCATATTTCTCTCAATCTTTTAAATTTAGAACCTCATTCCCTTGGAACAAAATCAGAAAAAGTGATATTCAGCCTCACACATTAGTAAAAACCAGCAGAAGTAAATTACAAGACACACATGTCACGTTCTGGGAATAGAAGGAAAGGTATAGAAAGTTCAGTGTGGGCTCAGGAGCGAGCATGAGGTGGTGCCATGTCCCACATGTACATGGGAACAAAAGCAATGCTTCCACAGAATGGCTTGGGGGATAAAACAAGACACCCAACTTAATAAAGAAGAGGCCCTTTGAAGGCCTTTGGGATTATTTATACAATTCTGTACATTCAGCTTACTTTTAAATATGTCTCAACCAATCAGTGCTGAATTTCTTATTTTGAGTGATCTGTACATGCAAAAATGAATGGATTTCATTAGGCTTTCTATTAATAATTCAAAAGCCTTTAAGAATTAAAATCAGGAAGAGGACTTCTGGTGGCCCAGAGCTTAAAGAGTGCTATCAAGCTATTGCCAGCCAATGCAGCATGAGTTTGATCCCAAGAATTAAAATGGTCACACTTTTTTTTTAAGATTTACTTATGCATACCGGAATTGGGGTACAGGCCAGAGGAGTGAGGGTGAGAGAATTCACCAGAGACAGAGTGGGGAGCAGGACAGGCAGATCTGCTGAGGTACACTGCTGAGGGGAGCAGCGGGCAGGTCAGGAGAGGTCTGCCGCGCCATGTGGGTCAGTGCCCTGGCCAGGGATCAAACTCTTGTTGCAGTGGCTGCAGATAGCGTCATAGCGCTGCCCTTTAACTCCTTGCGCCTTCAGGGAGGACCCAAATGGTCACAATTTAATCAGTTTAATGAGGTCATTTTTCTCTTCCAATTATTCTTGTTTGTTATATAAAGGTTAATTTAAAACTAAGAAAAACTGTATTTCTACTATTTTACTTTTCCATGGCCTTTCTCCAAAGATTGCCCAACAGAAGAATTTAGATTAAACACATCCAAGGACTAAAGGCATCCACACGGCAATGTTAAGGGAGCTGGGCAACATCCAGTGACATAAAGGGGTATGTGGTGTGGAACTCCCTGAAAGGGTCAGGAGGGTGTTCCTCAGCATGCGTCTTTCAGTAAGCGAACTAGAGAGCTGTGAGCTGCAGGAAGATCTATTACCATGACTTCAAGAACGCAGACTGTTTTCAGTTGCGAGCAGTGATGGTTTTAGGAGCTCTTAATCCATTGTTCTTTCTCCTAATCTGAGAAAGTCACTGCTCCCCCTTCAGTGACTAAGAAGACTACAGTTTGGAGGAACTAACACCTGGGTACAGGTCTATTGGTGAACATGTCCTCTCTGTGAGAGTGAAGATAAGGTCACCCCCTTCTTATCTGTCATGGGATAACCCAGGCCCCAAAACACAGGATGATTATCACTGGCCCTCTCCACTCTTCTTTAGAATTTACAGTCATGTGCATTATCCACACACAGATTACTAAATTCGGGTCTTTTCTCCTACTCATCTGGCCGACATTATTCATCTGTCTAACCTTAGGAGAACCCAAGTGGGGTGAGGTCATTTTCCTCACACTCTTACAAAAATATGGCAACATCTTCAGATGGCCAGCTACTCCTCTTAATAATATTTAAACATGTTCAATTTAAATAAGCTCAGAGTATAAAATACGATCAATATTTTTAGAATTCAGACTTATATGTTAATACATCTCTATCTACAAGGTAGTAGACCGGATTTGGCAACATTTACCATCAGAAAACACCTTCACTCCCTGTAGTTTCCAGTTAACAAGTCTCTCAACAAGTGATTTCTAATAACAAGTGTGATAAAATAGGCTCATGCATAAATAATACATTTCATACATTTTTAATAAATATATTAAAAAACCTCTTTAGTTAGCAATTTCAGCATCATTAATCATTTAAATCTTTTTCCCCTTTTTGTGATTTTTTATTTTTTCAATAATATATATAAAATGAAAAACTTATAACAAAATTTATGTATAAAACACTTGGCTTGTATACATAATCACTGTAAGAACAGTTTCTAAAAATTATATATTCAAGGTTCTAATTAATGACATTTATGATTAAGTGATAAGAATAGAATAATGCCCATAATTTCTTTATACTACTTACCTTCTTCACTAAAAGGCAGCAGAAGAGTGCTGAATTCTCTTTTCCAAGAAGCTGAAACCATAGTACTTGGGAAGGTTTAAGCTCTTCTTGTAACCATACCTTCCCAGTTTCTGTGAGTTCTACTCCAGCTAGTTTAACAAGCAAAGCACCACATGGTTCTTCTAAAAAAGTTTGGAAGAAGAGAGCTTAATTTCAGTACAAAGTTGCAAAAGTCACTTGGCTTTTTGACAAGAAGTAGGGAGAAATGGGACTGGAGCAGGAAAGATGTGGCCTCTGCCAGCTCTCCAGCCTCCTTCAGTGTCTCTCATCTCCTTCTCCCTCTGTCCACATGAGCCTTCGTATTGACAGAGCCCTGCTCTAAGTTCTCCTAGCAACCCCTTTCGTTCTTCCAGTCTCTGATTAAAAAGCAATTCCTCCATGAGGCCCTTTCCACTGCTCTTCCTGTGTAAGCTCCGCCTTCATGTAACCCCCAATGATTCTCATCCCGCCATCCTGCTGCATTTCTTCATGGCTCCTAGGACAATTTTCCAAGTGTTTGTTGCCTACCTTTCCCCTAGGGTTGAGGTGGTTTTGTATGTTTGACTCAGTGCTCTACATAATAGGTGTTCAATACATGTGGAAAGAATGAATGCCTGAATAAAATAATGAACGCCTGAATGAAAAAAAAAGGTGGGAAGGAAAAACAAAAACTGTAACCAAATAGGTCTTGGTACATAAGGCCAAAACCTGGGACTTTCTGTTACAGACAATGGAGACTTATTAAAAATTAAAATGATGGCCCTCCCTGGTGGCGCAGCGGGTTAAAGCACTACACTAAGAAGCTTAAGCCACTTCCGCAAGAGTTCGATCCCCACCTGCTCCTGAGGAGATCCACATGGCGTGGCAGACCTCTCCTGACCCGCCCGCTGCTCCCCTAAGCAGTGTACTTCCTCTGATCCTCCTGTTTGCTCCCCACTCTGTCCCTGGTGAATCCTCTCACCCTCCGCATCTCTGGCCTGTACCCCAGTTCTGTATGAATAAATAAATAAATCTTTAAAAAAAATAAAATGCCATCTTTTGCTACCTTCTAAATAACTTCTAATATAAAAGAACAGTACAATAATTATTATTGTATCTTACTTACTTCGCCATGAAGATATAATAGGTAAAGTAATGGGAATATGTTCAATTTCTAAACCATTTTCTGTTACTCGGCGTAAACGTCCACGCAATTTAACATTCTTTTTTATAAATTCTACTGGAATATCAGAAGAACTTGTAAATTTTGATGTCTGTTGATTTAAAGGGAGAGCAATATAACACTCTATTACTATTTTCATTTTCAAATTAAGTCAAATTAAACACTTAACAAAATTTTCTATTTGATTTTTAACTTTATAGTAATATTTATTATGCTTCAATAAGAAGCTTTTATAGGAACATTAGTTAGAAATCTTTGGTTACTCTTATTATTTCAAGCTACTATGTAAAAACCATTAAGTGGACCCCTAACTTGTAAGTTTATATCTTCAACATATGACGCAATTCATCAAAAAGCAGTTAGTATTGGCATGACACACATTCGCTTAAACTGCTATTACCCTAATGTATAGGTTTACAATCTCCTCATCCAGGTACAGCTGAGAGAATCTAAACAAAGCCGAGTCGAATTAAATTAGAACTCTTACTTAATCAACAACATTTTATTTTCCTCATTATTTTATGTCAGATGGAATAAGATGGAAAAACAAACAAACAAACCAAACCAGTCCGCATTAGGCAATCACCAGAACAGCAAACACCTAATATCCTGGTAATGGCCTGGGGTCAGCCAGCATTTTACACCAGCCTTCCACATTAACCACAGACAGGGACAAGTTTCATTCATGATCATGGCTAGGTACAGAGAAGGTATACAGAAGGGTAAGTTAGTACAGAAGATCCAAAGAAAGTAAAGTTGAAATCAACATTATAAAATATAAATTCCCTGGTACTAAAAAAAATAAATAATTAAATAAAATATAAATTCCAGGCCTCGCTGGTGGTGCAATTTTAAACTCTCAGCTCTATCAAGATATTGCCAGACACTGCAGCCTGAGAGTGATCCCTGGCCAGGGAGCTGACCTACAGGGCCCAGCAAAGCTCTCCTGTCTGGCTCACTGCTCCCCTTGGCAGTGTATTTCAATAGATCTGTTTGTTCTGCTCCCCACTCTGTTTCTGGTGAATCCTCGCACCAGCCCCAACCCTGCACCTCTGCCCTATACCCCAGTTCTTGTATGGGTAAATAAATAAAAATAAATCTTCAAAAAATATATATAAATTTCACACAAGGTATGTTCAAAGGGGTAAATGACTTGGTTCTGCTAAACCAAAAGCTTAAGGAAAACATGGGGATGGGGTGGGGCGTGGGAGCTGTTATAACACAAATGAGATTTCTGAGGTGCAATTGCAATATATGTTTTTTAAAAGATTTCTTTATGCATACAGAACTGGGGTACAGGCCAAAGGTACAGGGGCGGTGAGAGGATTCACCAGGGACAGGGTGGGGAGCAGAAGAGGATAATGTACTGAAATACACTGCTGAGGGGAGCAGTGGACAAGACATGTGAGGTCTGCTGCTCCTGGTGGGTCAGCTCTCTGGCCAGGGATAGAACCCAGGCCCTTGAGGTGGACCTTCACCGTGGAAATGCTGTCTTAACCCTTAGGCAGCACGGAGGCCTTTTCAGTATTGTTTTTTACCTAAACTCTTAACAGATCATCTAAGATTTTAGCAATTTTGATATCTTCAAAATACAAACATTATAGGACACATTGATAGATTATAAGATAAAGAAAAAATGGAATGAAAAAACCGAAAGCTTCAAAAGCTCCCTTCTAAAGAAATACACATATTAGCTACAAATGAATGACTTTAAAATCGCAAATGTGACTAATAAATAAGAATCTATTAGAATGGCAGGTTAAAAATGAGTTAAAGGCAAAGAGCCTAAAAGTTTTTACACAGAAGTCGGGTGGGGAAGCAACAGCTGGAAAAGATGCTCAGTAGAGTAAATACTCTGTGGGCAATGACAATGTAAGACAAAATAAGATAATAAATGCAGGAAATAAATATATACAGAAGCAATAAACCTAAGCCAGTTCATAAAATGACACTAAAATTATATCCTATGGTAAGAATCAGTTATAGTTAAAAAGAAAAAAAAAAGATTTGTAAATCTAGAACTAGCAAATGGATTTCCACAACCTATTATTAAAGCATGACTGAAAGGGGGGAAAGAACATTAACTGAAGGTATAAAATTATTCAGAGCTAAGGGACATAATTTTACTGATCTAAATCTAAAACTACTAAAGAAAACCCACAAAGGCTAAAATGCAAATTCAGTGAGTGTGCCATTCTAGCAAATGAAATCCTTTTCAGATTCCTTTTGAAGCATGAAGAAAAGTGGTTATGGAAATATAGGGAGTGCAATTACTTTCCATAAAATCCTGTGGATGTGTTACTTTTAGATCAAGTCTTGAAAATATGTTTATTGTTCTAAAACACTATTGAAAAGCTTCTGAGTAACAAAATGATATACTGCCTGAGCTAAAAACTGAAATGAGAAAAAATTAACTATCTATTGCTTATCATAAAATGAGTTAATTATTTTAACTTACCAGTCGAACACTTCTTAGAAGTAAGGTTATTCCAGCTATGGCCATTATAGTGCTGATGCTCTTGAGAGAGAGAGTTAATCATTAAGTTTCACTAATAATTAATTTTTCACAGTATTAAATGTACTAAGTAGGGGAGGGAAGACTGCCCTTACATCTATCTGGCCAGGCCCATTTCTTTCAAACAACTTTAAGGTCCATCCATGCATGAGTCCTCACCTATGTCTCCCAAATAAACTGGTGAACAAAGCAACTATATACATAATCTTTTACTCTACTGTTGTATTATTTTAACCATGAGTTCCTTGAATATGTCAGTCTAGTATCTCTTGTGTGGTGCCCACAGGAACTCAGAGTAAAGCGTGACCCCGAGTCTACGGTGGGGATTTAGATAGAAAACTTTATTATCAAATCTTAAAAATATGGCATCCTAGGAAATACATGTGGGTGCTGTAAACAGTTGGAGAAAGGTTGATGTTTTGAAAGTGCTTCTTTTAAACTGAAATCAAGCTAAAGGAGCGTAATTTAAAATAAGAGAGTCCAGCAGCACCCTGGGCAAGAGTAATCATCTATCATGCTCCCCTTGTATAAATACAATTAGATAGGTAAGAAAAGAAGTTGAAAATAAAAACAAGGGTGTAGTCTTTAATTGGAACATATTTGGAATATGCCCATGTGCTACTTTAAAAACTGTTTCCTCTCTCGATCCTGCTGAGGAATTTTTTAAATTTTGAAATAACCTATACATCTCTTCCTGCCTAGCAGGAAGAATCCAGGCCATGTCAATGTATACCATATAGCTGCGGTACATTGACTACATAGATATTCAGCATTTGGAAGTGGTAAGCTCTACCTGATGGACTGTACACAGGTGGGTAAAAAACTAACCTGCTCCAGGCTTCCTGATCTTGGCTGCTGAATATATCAAAGCTGATGCTCCCACTCAACTTCTTAGTTAATTATTGCAATAGTTAACCTCTCAGTTAACTAATATAGTTAGCTCCTTCTGCAAACATTGTTCCCTAGGCTTGTAGCACGCCAGTTTCCCCTTGTTCTAACTGTTCCTTCTTAGACTTTATTGAATTCCTCCTTACACTCCATTGTGCTGTAAATGTTAGAGTCCTCCAGGATCAGTTCTGGGACTTCTTCAGTAGTGTTTCTGACTCCTCCAAGACTCACCCGACCTTTAAATACAATTTAAAAGCATGTAGCTCCTTCCCAAAGTTACTGTCTGGTTCTGATCTCCCGCGAGATGTGTTTGGACTCTTAAACGCTCACACATTTACAGTCGAGACTAGTCTTATGTGCAGCTATGTCCACAGGTGCAAAGAGGTCTCTGTATTTTCCAACAATGGCGTACTGTGTATCCTCATCTTTTATCACCACCCACGACAGTCCCCTGGGGAAGTCCTCTTTGTACACCCCCCCACCACCACCACCACCCAAACCGTCCACATCACAAGGTGTTTGCTCTGTCCAGTGGGATGGCCCAAGAAGTCCCTCCCCAGGTGGGATTAAGGGGACTCTACACTTGAAAACAAAAACAAAAAAAGATCCTTCTCCCCAGGCCTACAAGCCCTCGCTCTCCATCCTCCGGCCTCCCCAATCTCTACCCGGCTTCCCAAGGTCCCGGGGCTCAGGCCTTGGAGGTGACCGGGGCCAACGCGCAGAGGGTCGTCCCGCCCCGGCCCCCCACGTCCTCCGAGCCCTAGGCAGTGCGGCCTCCAAATCCGGCCCCGAGCCGGCCAGCCAGCGGGTGCACGCGGGGGCCTCCCCGGAGACGTCTCCCTGCCCCGGCCCTGTACCCGGACGAGGCGCAGGTGCTCATCCGCCCATTGCGAGGCCCGCGCCACAACGTTGGGCGCGGGTCCCTCCCGGTCCCGCGGCGAGGCAGAGACCCCGGGCGGCCCCGCCATGTTCCCGGCTTCCCGGAGCCTCAACGCGGCCTGCAGCGGCCTCCAGCGGCCCACAGGGGGCGCTGCCTCCGCCTGCAGCGGGGGGGCCCCCGCGGGTCAGAGGGATCCCCAGCTTCACAGCCTGCAGTAGCCCAAAGATACAGCTTCCCCACCAAAACTGTATCATCTGAACAGTGACCCGCAGAACTTTTGCGGATCTCAGCACCCAAGAGCTATGCGAGGCAGGGAAGAGGGCTGGTAGCCGCAAGAGTTGAACCCCACGAAAGGAAAGGAAATTGAATTGCTTCGTGTCTCCAAATACAATATGCACATTTCGTATACTTCAGTCATGCTTTCGATTGTTCACAGGTGCTTTGTTAGCTTAAAATAAGACATGCTAAATCTTCACTGTTAGTTGATTAGAGAGAAGTCAACACATAGATTTTAACTACTTCTTGTAATCACAATACTTTCACACCAAATCTTTATGGTCACCCCTCACGCCAACAAAGTGTTATGTGGTAATTATATCACAATTTTAAAAAAGAAATCGATTTCAAAACAAACTAAACATTTATATGACATCGTCCTTCTTTGAGATTAAGGGCTCCTGGCAGCACAGTGCTGGGGAGAGAATACGTCTTGAGGCAGAGCCTGACTTTGCATTATTACCTCTGCTTTAATGATTCCACTATGAAAAACATAATATAAAAAAAAATTCCATTATGCTTCAAGTTATGCCAAAGTTCCTCAGGTTCACCTACAAGAAGTTGTTAATCAAGGCCTGGTCTCTCTCGAAGCTTTTTTTCCCTTCTCCCCACCTCATTCATGTCTGTAGCAGAGCAACAATGGGTTAAACCATGGTTTCAATATCTTAGTGAAAAACTGGCCCACCAGTGCCATTGCAGATCAGACAAGATAAAAAAAAAAAAGAAAGCAGCATAAATGCAGTTCCTGGAGTACCCTGCCTATTTCCTTGAAATCCCACTAACACTGACCCTTTTAGCCTCTCTTTAGTATCCTCCCATATAAATTTCTGCAGTTCAGATGGTCTCTGTGGCAGTAGTTTCCCATATCCTCAGGTTGGCCAGCAAATGATTAAACCTGATTTTCCATCCACCAACTTCCCCCACCCCCTCCCATTATCAAATGATCCTTTACGGAATAGTTCCCTGTTTCTCTTAACTGGCTGGACACTCCACGGAGGACTGCAACATTGCAGTCCACAAACTGAGTGGTGCCCAAGATCTCTTTAATGGTGCCAGAGTTCTCTAAAAATCAGTGTGGCATCTGTTCGGATATGTTGACAATCTCATCAGAAGTGATATATTACCACCATGCTTAATGCTTTTCTGCTTGTCTTTTGGTGCTTCCTCCAGGGCTTTGATGATGAAGGCAGAGGCTGAAGGAGCTGACTGTTTGGGCCTGTCTGTATGGCATGGTCAGTTCGCTGTAATCCTTAGACCTTGCCAATCACCACTTGCCTTGGCAATGTCATCACCAATTTTGGGGGGAGATACACCTGGAGGAACAATCTTGGGGGCCGGGGCACAAGGGCACCTATTTCCCCACTTATGTACTTCAGGCATCCATCCCTTGATTTTGTCTTTTGTGTTTGGCTTATGACTGTGGAGTAACCAGACCCCCCAAAATTCCTGTTACAATAATAACTTGAATGCACATGAAGAATTGAGTATTAGCAAAGATAATTATGTAGGGAAATATAAAATACACTTTTTGGTTTATGACTTCTGTCTTCTGATGACTTAAAAGACAACTGGGTAAAGCAATAAGCGTAACTGTGCTGATGGGCTTATAAGAGACATAGTATGTATGACTAATAGCACAGGAGAGAGGAGTGGGAACAGAGTATGTGGGAAAAAACTTGTGTATGTAACTATTGAAATTGGTTTATGCACTTTACTAACATATAATTTACTATATGTAAATTATACCTTGATTTTTTTCTTTCTTTTAAGGGAGGGGTTTGGGTAGTATCGTAACACTTTTAGAAGTTAGGAACTCTAGAACCTCAAGCCAATTAGCAATAACTCCTGGTGATCAAGAATTACAATTACAGCTGGGACTCAGGTCTGAGGTGGAGTTTGGGAACCAAAAAGCTGTTCAAGAACTTAAGAATTATTGGGTTTAGCCATCAACACTGTCCTCTTCCTCAGGAGCAAAAATTTATTGATTCCTACAGATAGAATGATGAAACTCTCTCTAGAAATGTGATTTGTGCCTATGTATTTGATTCTCCTTCCACTACCAGCACAAGCTTTGTATCTCCCCCACATGACCTAAAAAGCATTGTTTGATCGAGACATTGCCATCCCTATCAAGCACAATTTTCATACCAACTCACTTAATGAAGTGATGACCGATCCATAAAGTGACTCTTCTAGTCAGGAGCTCACCCCTTAGCACAATAAGCTGGAATGAGATAACAAGGCCAAGTGGCTCAAAACATGACCACATAAGTTTAAGAATAAAAGCTGGAGTTGCTTTGCTAAGCCCAGAGCCATAAGAATCACATTTGTTTTTATAAGGGAATGTGGCTATGTGCAAAAAACATAAAGGCTCTTCATCAGAGCAATCTCCTAAACAAAATTACCTTTTTCTTCAGTTATTTCATTAGACTTCCTTCCCACAGTAAATTATGAATCTCTAAAGGAGCAGTAAATTATGAATCTCTAAAGGAGAAAGACGCCAACAAAATTTATTCTTTTACAGTGTACATTCTGAAGAAAAGTTAATACATTTGTTGACTCAAAGGAAGAATCAAAGGCAATATAGGGATAACATAGTTCTATTTGTGTAATGTTGCTTGTAATCTTTATATCAGGTCTAGAATGAAATATTCTTATAATACTGTCCTTTTTATAGTCTACTGCTCTATCATTCCACTTTATCTTATAATTGATTGTATATAATTTAATTGAGAAAACTGGGTAGTAAACTCTGAAATGTTTGCCTCCTGGGGTTATCACTAGAGGACTTAGTGCTTATTAAATTTATATGCAGTTTACTTTCACTTCAGGCATTCACATTTATACATACAAGGGCAGCAATACACATTCACCCCAAAAGTGCTGTCGAAAGGTAAGGGGAATCTAGGATAAGTGAAAAAATGGTTGTAGCTTGTCTCATTAACTCCAACACCTAAATTCTTTTCAACTGTAAGTTTAGACCTATGGCTTTTATTGTTACTTTTTAATAACTTTACTTTTTAGAACTGTTTAAATTCACAGCAAAATTGAGTAGACAGTAGAATTCCAAATACCACCAGCCTTTCCCCACATGCATCCTTCTTTCCTATCAACATTCCTCCCTGGAGTGGTGTATTAGCTAGAATTGATAAAACTACATTGATGTCATTATCCCTCAACCCCCGTAGTTTCCCTTATGACTTATTTTTGTTATTGTACAGCTTATGGGTTTTGATAAGTTTATAACATGTATCCACCTTACAGTGTTATACAGGGTAGTTCTATGTCCTAAAAATCCTTTATGCTCTGTTTGTTTGAACTTTTGCCCTCCTAACCTCTGGAAACCATTGATCTGTATTCTTTCTAATACTTTTTCTCCCCCAAATATGTGGTTGGAATCATACACTGCTATTTCGAATAGACTTTTTTCACTTACAAATTCACATTTAATGTTCCTTTCTCTCTCTCTTATGGTTTGATAGCTCATTTGCTTTTGGGGTTTAAAAAGAAAAAAAGCCTGGATTTGTTAGCGCTGATTTTTATCTTTTCACCTACTAAAGGACATCTTGGTGGCTTCCCCATTTTGGCAGTTACAACTACAGTGGCTATAAACACGCATGTGCAGGTCTTTGTCTGGATATAGATTTTCAGATTCTTTGGGTAAATGCCTCTGAACATGATGGGTGGATATGATGTTAAGAAAATGTTTAGTTTTCTAAGATACAGCCACATTGAATTCTAAAAGTGCCTGTACAATTTTGCATTCTCACCAGCAGTGCATTGGCATGCTTGTTGTGCCACACCTTGACAGCATTTGGCTCTCAGGGCCCTCAGAGTGGCTATTCTAATAGGTGGGTAATGGTATTTCTCTGTTCTTTTAATTTGCTCTTCCTGGTGACCTGTGATGTGAAGCCTATTTTCATGGCAATATTTTTCAAAATTAGTAACTGGGAAGAAAAAAGAATATTTAAAAAATAAACCTACTTTTTGTTGGAAGTTATTTGTATAATAAACAAAAATGTTTTAAAACTGAGGCCTCCCTGGTGGCCTAAGGGTTAAGTCTCAGATTTCCAACGTGGTGCAGCAGACCTCTCCCATCATGTCCGCTGCACTCCTCAGCAGTGTACTCAGTAGATGTGCCTCTGTGTCTGGTGAATCCTCTCACCTCCTCACTCTGGCCTGTACCGCAGACCTTATGTACATAAATAAATAAATCCTTGAAAAAACAAGTTCTTTAAAATTTTAATAGCCAAAGAAGTCAATGTACCCAAATACAACTGTTTCAAAAATGGGATTGTGTAATAAATTTCCCCAGTGAAGTTTCTTAAAATCTCAAACTATACCCATGTGTAACTCTTGAAGAAAGAGCACTGTATTCCATTTAATATCCTTTCGAATGGAAAATACAATCAATAATTTAGCTTGCCTTCATTAAAAAAGGAAAAATAAAGTCTGGAAGTGTAATCATTTGAAAGTAGTGCATTTTCTTTGAATTATAAATGGCAATAAGCATAACTTTAACATGACATTTTAACATGACTGACCTTATGAAGGTAAGTTTGACTTAATAAAAATGAAAACATGAATATATCATGAATACTTTATTTTTTAGAGATCAACAGTAATCATTATGAGCATTTCTACTTTTTGTTGCAATTTGAATTATATAAAATATACTCCAAATATCTGCACATTGTATAAATATCAAGGTGTAATGAAAACCTTTTAATAAATTAACCAAATAAATTTTCACATATCTTTAAAAAAAAAAATGCAAACCTACCAAAACTAATGCTAGAGCTTCCAAAAATGATAAAAGAAATTATTTTGCATTGTGCTTTTTAAATGCAAAACTATACTTGGGTGCAATGACTTCATAAAGACTTCAATATTCTAACATTGACTTTTTTTTCAATTTTACACAAATTCTTGTAATGGCAATATTTGAGAGCAGAAAGAACTATATATTCACCAATATAATCGACAATGGTTAGTTATCAATTTATCAAATATCACAAACTTTAAAATATTACATCTTTGTTTCAATTTTATATTTTCCTAATTTTATAGGGGCATGTGGTAACTTCCATTAATTATAAGATTATTACAAATTACACTTTTCCTAATATTTTAAGATCATTTTAGTGAAAATAAGAATGAACACATGCTATTTATATTTTATAAGAGTAACTGATTAGTTACAAATGACTGAATAAATTTTGGAGACTTATTACATTCCTCTATGAAATACAGCATCAGTACCTTGTTCATTTTGGTCATTCAATTTAATCCAAATCATTCTCAAAAAATAGTTACAAAAAGTATGTCTATATTGACAAAAAAGTATGACCTTTTTCTAAATGTGTCCATTTCATATGAAACCATGCAAATTATTGCTTTATTAAATTATTTTAATATGATTTTCAAAATTATACACCTGATTAAAGTTTCTTAAAACAGGAACTATGATAAAATTTCATTCAGCAGGCCTCCCTGATGCTCCAGCACCATCAGGCTATTGCCTGCCACTAACTCACAGGGCACAGCAGACCGCTCCTGTCTTGCTTGCTGCTCCCCTCAGCAGTGTATTTCTCTGTTCTGCTCTCCACTCTGCTCTGATGAACGCTCTCATCACTCCCCACCTCTGACCTACATCCCAATTCTTGTATACATAAATAAATAAACCTATTAAATTATATTTTCCTATAAAATGTCCCCATCACTTTTAAAAAAAAGTCCACCTTAAAAGCAATCTTTAGAGTCTTCTCTGGTGGCACAGGGAATAAAGACACAGAACTATCAAGCTACTGGCAGCCACTAAAGCACAAATTAGATCCCCAGCCAGGGAGCTGACCCACATGGCTCAGCAGACCTCTCCTGTCTCACTCACTGCTCCCCTCAGCATTGTGATTTCAGTCTGCCTGTGCTGTTCCCAGCTCTGTCTCTGGTGAATCCTCTCCCCAGGCCACACACACCTCTGGCCTCCACCCGTTTTTGTATGCATAAATAATCTTTAATAAAAAGCAATCTTTATAATCCAGGAATCAAAGTTTATTCATTTAAGGAAATGAAGCATGTATCTTAAATGAACTATTCTGCCCTGATATGAGCCTTGCCTCTACCACAACAGGATTCCAGGAAGGAAGGCTAGCTCTATGCCATTCTACCCTGCTAACCATGTGAAAAAAGTAAAGTGACTACTCTAAAAGCAGTTTAGAGGAAGGAGGTTGAAACAGGAAGATTTTCAGTCCCAAACTAAATAGTGGTTATGATACTATTTCGCACTATGAATCAGGCGGAGATTAAGCTAAGGTGGAAAAGAACAGTCTGTGGTAGGCATTTTAAATCTTGTAACAGAAAACCAAATTACATTTTGTTGTCTACCAAATACACTGGCTAAAAAAAGTCTCCGTAGTTATATTGCACTATAACACCTCCCCTTTAGTAAGTAAAACATTACTGAATAGTATCTTAATCCTGGTTTATAATTAAATTATTTTTTAAAGTTTATTTTCTTTCTCTAATACTAAGGTAGAATACACTTTGGAACTCTACATGGAATGTTCCCAGAAAATTCAGTTCTTTATTTTCAGCAGGGTCAATATTATATAATTTTACTCAGCCTTTCAACTATACGAGAAAACATGATCCCCCAAAATACAAAAACAAACCTAGTCTTCTGTTATATTAAATGATCTTAGTCATTTGCTATTAAAAAAAAATACTAGAAATTATTGATAATAAAAATTACTAATGAGGAAGGTGTGTACTTTGTGGCATATAATTAGTTTGCGGTAGTTCCTCTTCTACCAGGAAAGTCTTATGTGCTCTAATCCCGTCAATGCAGAGGATGTTTGGCCTGCTGTGCTGATTTTCCTTTTAACATTGTTTTTGGTATGCTTTGTACAATCAGTTTCACAACTATTATTTCAAATTTATGTTTACAATTCATAGTAAGAACCCACATTCAGTAAGACAACTTTTACAATTTTGGGGGTTATAGCCTACTAATGGTTTTAACATGAACTCGATCCAAAATAAGAAAAAATTACATATGAGTTATTAGTAAACAATGCAAGGATTTCAGGACCCCATGACATCTGTTTACGATAAAAATTTTTGCAACAAAGGGTAGAAATCAAACAATAGGTTTAGACTGTAAATTTAATTTCAAAGATTTAATATAAAAAAATAGAGAAATCTATTTTAAGTGTTGAGCAATTTTTTATGATTCATCAGGCAAAATTAAAATATTTACAAATGAGGGAACTTCTAAGTTTTAGCTTCAGCTAATCATATAAAAATTTTCCAACTCAGATCAGACGTATACATGTTACAACCAATATGCAAACAGAGATGATGACATAAAAAGTACGCTCACATCTGATACTGACAGTAGATATAATACAATCAATGGAGAAGTTAATATTTACACTTAAAGGTAGTTTATTAGGGTTAATCAGTAAAAAAATATTTTTATATCCAGAACAGTATTTTATAGCACTATTTATTTACAACACACAAATCCTCAGTTTCAGGTAGCTCATTTGTAAGATGCCATCAGTTGTACGTAGTTCTTAACAAGCCACTTTTGGCATGCATTACAGACGGACCTAAATAATAAATTTCGGTAATTCAAAATAATTGTTCATTTCAAATACAATGAATGGTTTTCACCTGATAATTAAAATGTTAATATTAACAACATAGGCTTAAAATATGTTTTAAAACTTCGTCATTGAAGATTTGTAGACTTAAAACTATGCTTGAAAGTATGTATAATTTGTAGTAATATAAACAGGAAAGATATAAAAGATAATTATGACAATATGAGCATCTTCAGCCAAAAAATTAAAAATCAAAATACATTTCACATGAGTGTTAAGTGGGTTTTTCTTTATTCAAGTAAACATTTTGATTATAATACATAATGGACAGCCCATCTGACAAAGTACTGTAGTCTATGGTTTGCTGTAGCTCCTTGTCTCTAGGATGATTTTCCAGGCGAGTCTTCAGGATCTGATACTGATGCCCAACACAGACTTCCCCATGGGAATGCATGAGTTCTAGAGGTTACTGTCTCTACTTTTCTTCAGATGCTGAGTGCCATTTTCTCCCACCCATTTTATCCTCCATAACTTATAAAACCCCATTCTAAAATTCAACCTATATTATAAAATTAATAAAATTAGGAGTTAGTATATATTGTCCCACAAAGTCAAAATTATTCAGATTCAATCTTTCCTCCCAACTCTTGAAGTATTTATATAATTTCTAAAGAATCAGAGTAATACATGCCACAAAATACACAAAGAACCTTATTATTGAGGGGGGAGAGTATATGTGTTGGAAATCAAAGTACTTTCAAAAGCTTAATTCTCCTGGGATATCAACCCTCCACTGAAAATTACAGTTTACAAACAGAAGGTTATGTTTTAGTAAGTGGAGAAATATAGTACCTGGCTCGGTATACAGTAATTTATTGTGAGATCTTTTCTCACTAGTAAAGTGCGTAATTAAGAAACATTCTTCTGCCACATGATTTATTTTGTCAAAGGCACAGAATGTCTTTCTCCTTAAAGAATTAGTTTTAGAATTATATTCCCTATTTAAGTTGTACCTAATCAGGAATATTGCTGATTTTTTCTTCTCAGTATTTAAAAAAAAAAAAACTACTTGAAGAAAAATGTTTAATTTTTATTTTCAACACTTTGCCATGAACATACATACAACACTAAATTTGATCCCCTCATGAGCTATCATGAGCTATGTATGTGCCAGGAAGCACTAATGACCAAAAAAAAAAAAAAAAAAACCCACATGTAAGCGTTAGGGTATAAATTAACTTAGGAATCAAACTCTCTTCCCAGTGGGGTAGTAGAGGAATGAATAAATTAAAAATCGTAGACTTCATTTTATAAAAAAATAGCTTGAATAATCTTCTTATAAATCTTTAACGCTTACAAAAGCAGGAAATACATTAAAATAGTATTTTTAACACAGAGTTAAATCACAGTACAATGTGATTAAGATCAGAAAAAATAATATCAACATGGCCGTTCAGAAGTTTACAATCTCTCCTCAGCAAATTCCACATATTTAACCAATTTGCTATTCAAAATAGTATTTTACTGTTGATAAGTCAGGCTATCTATATTTAGTGTCTGGATATCAAGTTCTATTCCATTTAATATATTTTACCAAAAGTGTAAATACCGCTCAATAATAGGTACTGGCAGCAATACTTGACTGCATGGTTTCCATCCATGACTACTGTACTACTGCTTAAAACATGCTTTGGTCAGTAAATTAAAAAGATATAAATCAAAAAACAAGATCAGGAAGGCTGTTTTTGATCCAATTTCCTGACCCTTAGTAAACTTTAAATACATCAACAAGACAAGGAAAAATATGATCAAATATACAGAAAGGCCTTCATTTTCAACCATTTGGCATTTTATAATAATAATATCCTTGTTTAAAATAATTTTTTTTGCTCGCTCATGTGCATTGATTATCATAGCTCTGAATTAAAACTATAGTTACCTTTCTAGAATGTCCAGTAGTGAATGGATTAATTGCTCCTTTTACACTTCCATGAAGTAGGTCCTTCATCCTGTAACTTTTTAAATTTTGGACCAAGAAAGAACCACCAACCAAATCCAATAAAAACACAAATAATGGACTCCACGTAATAACCATCCAATGCTGTAACACATGAGCCACCAAGTTTTTTGCAAAGCTGTAAAAATAAAATTGTGATTAAATATTCCCAATTTCAAAATGGAAGCATTCACCATTTACATGTTTCTACTTGGTAATTTAAAGGATTAGTCAAAAATATTTTTGTTGAAACATTTCAGCATTCCTTTCACTTCAAATGCAAAACATGGCAATATATATTCATCTTTTAAAAGCCATTAACAGAATTAAAAACAATTTTTGGGCCCGCTCAGATTCAGCCCAGCAGGGCTGGACTATGTCTACTCTATTTATTAGTTGCACCAAGATTCTTAAGAAGTCAGTTCTTATGGGACCTCCCTAGTGGCCCAAGAGGTTAAGTCTCCACACTATGATCCTATCCCCACTGCAGCCACTGCAAATATGAGTTTGATCCCCAGCCAGGGAGCTAATCAATATGGCCAGCAGACCTCTCTTGTCTCTCCTACTGCTGCCCTCAGCAGTGTATTTCAGTAGTGGGGAACAGAACAGGCTAAGAGGAGCAGTGAGTGGGTGGGTCAGGTGAGGTCTGCCAGGCCATATGGGTCAGCTCTGTGGTCAGAAATTGAATTCGTGCAGCAGTGGCTGCTGATTGCTTCATAGTGCTGGGCTTTAACCCACTGTGCTACCAGGGAGGGTCCTACTTTTTAAAGATTTATTTATTTATGCATACAAGAACTGAGGTACAGGCCAGAGGTGGGGGAAAGGAGGGAAGGGGTTTGAGGAATCCCCAGAGACAGAGTGGGGAGCAGAACAGGCAGTGTACTGCAATATACTGCTAAGGAGAGCTGCAGGGGACACAGGAGAGGTCTGCTTGCTATATGTGGGTTAGCTCCCTGGCCAGGGATTGAACTCAGGAAGTAGAGATAATAGTGCTGAGACTTAACCACCAGGTCATTAGGGAGGCCCAGAAATTAATATTCTAATGTTACTAAAAATTACAATATACTTACCTCAACAGCATCAGGTGTTCCACAATTCTGGTTTGATGCTCCTACACATTCTTTCACTGTGAGGGGATCTACCAACCAGAGAGCTACTGTAGAAGGCCAGTTTCCTCCCAGATTGGAAACAGTATTTAGAAGGGTCATATATGTTCCTCCAATGAGTGGATCACTAACCTTTGCATTGAAAGCCATTATAGAAACATACATGCTGTACAATGTAACCTACAGGGGAAAAAATTAAAACATCTTTACTATACTTAAACTTTATAAGGCTTTTGTCTAAGTTAAGAATATCAAAATAAAAAGCCTGAAAATTAATTTTCATGACTCTTATTAAACTCAAATCAACAGCTAAGTGCCCACTATACAGGTGAGGCTCTCAGCCAGATTACAGCAATACAAATATGTGTAAGGCACAATCCCTTTATGCTCTTGAAGAATTTATTTCAGGCTGGGAAAATAGGGGATAAATGATTATGTATCTGTAGTTTATGTATAGAAGTGGATACCTTGTGCAACTTGGGTCTAAAAATAGGAGAGATTAATTCTACCATAACAGTAAAAGAAGATTCAATAGATAAATAAGAGCTGAGGAGACACTGCAGGATGTATATAGCAATAAGCAAAGCCCCACAGTTGCCGTATTTGTAAGGTACTTAAATAAACTATCTGGTGCCTAACTACACATATATACATGTTATACATATCAACAATCAAAAGAACATAAGTATACATATGGAAGTGTATAATGTTCATGTAACTTTCTTCTGCACTTATAAAAGAAAAATAAGATTCCAAAGTTTATGCAAGAAACTAAAGAGAAAAATCCTCAAGAGGCAAAAAAGTGTTTAAGAGACAAGAATTAACCCTTCATTTAGGGACATGTAAACAAACCATTTTTCCAAAATAGCATTCTAGAATATGATTCTAGGGGATGTTCATAGAGGAGTTCCAGAGTTTAAACACTATAAATTCCTTACAGGCAGGGATTTTATTCATACCTAGTGCTTTAGAATGATTTCTGGCATGGAATAGGTGTCCACTAAATATTTGCTGATGGAATGATTAAGATATTATATAAAGAGGAATTAAATCATATATTAGTTCTCAAATTTATCTGGCCTTGTAACTTTTTTCTCCACAAAACATCTGGTTGTCTGATTTTTAATTACTATACTCTGGGAAATTCTCTAAATTAAATTAAAAACCAAATTATTTTTTGACTATTAATCACAGTTTTCCTCACAGTCAAACACTAACAAGCTAATATACTTTTTTTGACTTCTATTAGTGCCTAATAGTAGCAATAAGCAAAGCAGAAAAAATATATTTGAAATTTTAGCCTCAACAATTTTACAACACTGTGGGTTATGTTAACCAGATATTACCGACTATGGAATTGTACGCAAAAAACTGTTCAGACCACTAGGTCGTCATATTAAGTTTCAGTTAAAAACAAAGTAAAAGAATCAGAAAATATAACTTTCAAAGCACTTAAATGCAATTCCATAGAAAAATCCAAAGTGACTCTAAAGTACACACTTGCAATAATTGCAGTTGAGTCCCAACCGCACTCTGTGTGGTTTGTAAATGCCATTTATGTGCATTTCTTACAGAACACAAAACCCACATTCTTCAATAGCAGTGAGGCCTGGGTAAATTGGGGTCATTTGTTTTAGGGATTATAAACATATGTAACAATAATTTTTAAAAGCAGTTTAATACACAGCTTCTAAAATCACAATTTTAAGCATTTTTAAATCATAACTTGTAATGAATTATTTCTCAATAATTTCAGAAAGAAATCAAGAATGGAAAAATGAACTCAAATTTATGAGTGGATTGAAAGACTTAACAAATAAATTTGAAATTTAACAAATACTTGTTGAAGAGCAAAAAAGTCAGTGAATGAAGAAAGAACTCTTCATGAATAGAACTTATTAAATCAAAAGCCATGAGATTTAAAGTACACATTCAAATAAATTTTTCAATGTCAAAGTCCAGCGTAAGTCTTAAAATTTACTATCATGATTTTAAGGAAATTGTAGACAAATTTATTCTTTATTTTATATACACAGTTTAATTCCTAAGAAAATAATAGTAAACTTACCTGATGCAATGCATAACTCAACAGCACTGTAACATAGTAATATATAGGGAATCCCCCTTGGTGTTCTACTTTAGGAGTCCACCAAACCAGTAGCGCATATTCCAGTCCAAGCAACAATCTGTAGAAAAGAAATAGGAATATGACTTCCATTTTAGGTTAAAAAACAAAATTAAGGCCTCCCTGGTTGCACAACAGGTTAAAGCACAGCACTATGACGCAGTCCACAGCCATTGTAGCACTAGTTCAATTCCCCACCAGGGAGGTGACCAACATGGTGAGGCAGACCTCTCCTGTCGTGCCTGCTGCTCCCCTCAGCAGTGTACTTCACTCAATCAGCTTGTTCTATTCCTCACTCTGTCTCTGGTGAATCCTCTCACCCCCAAACCTCTGGCCTGTACCCCAGTTCTTGTATGCATAAATAAGTAAATCTTTAAAAAAAAAAACAACTAAATCTGTATGCCTATCATATGAAAGAAACCTGTCACTAAAACATTCTAGATTAAAAAGAGGTAAATAGCCCTCCCTTGTGGTATAGCGGGTTAAAGCGCAGCACTAAGAAGCTAAAGCCACTTCCGCATGAGTTCGATCCCTGGTTGCAGAGGTGACCCACATGGCACAGCAGATCTCTCCTGTCTTGCCTGCTGCTCCCCCTCAGCAGTGTACTTAGTTGATCTGCCTGTTCTGCTCCCCACTCTGTCTCCGGTGAATCTTCTCATCGCCCCTGCACCTCTGGCCTGTACCCCAGTTCTGTATGCATAAATAAATAAATCTTAAAAAAAAAAAAGAGTAAATAAATACATGTAAATGACACTAAAGTTGAAAGATGCTTCTCAAGCCATTTCCCAAATACACTTGACACATGGATATTAATGATACTAGTGAATGTTCCCTCATTTAACCTTTCTTACTTAGGGAGATTTTATTTTGTTTTTACCTGTAGGGCATGGCTTTGTAAAATACATTTAGTGGCTGGGGACCTGCAGTATATTTGCTTATAATGAGAGGCAATATTATCTGCAAAGGAACCATTGGAACTGCCAATAAGGCTAAATGTTCTTTGGGTACTCCCTCTTCTACCAATTTCAGTCCTGTTACTGCATCTGCTGCTGAAAAACCAATCTGTAAAAAAAGAAAAAAAAAATGTTACTTATCTTCTAAGCATATGTAAGTTCATCAAAGAACCTAAGTTTACAAGTAACAATCATGTTATAATATGGGTAAAACAATCAAGTTACTATAGAAGGCACATTTTATCTGTGGTACAGGAATAAGTCAGTGAAAACATGGTTAATTTAGATTCTTAGGAACTGTAGATAGCTCTAATTTCAACTAAATTTCCCTTTCAAAAATATCAGTCTCTTATAATAAATTGTCCAAATTCAAATTTACAGACTTGCATGTTTTAAGTTTAAAGACTCTCAATTGACTCCAATAAATCTGGTTAAAGTAAAACATCACTGCCACATATATACATTTTTCATGATTTCTGACTAACCATAACAGTGTTTCCAAAAGCTATGCAATGGTTTGATAATAATTCTGAAAAACTATTATATCTAAGAAGTTGATTAAGATATAGGGGAGGAAAAAGTATAGTTAGATTACTTTCTAAAGCAACAGAAAAAAAGACATTAAAAAAATATTGGGTAAAAGTCTGAAGTGAAATAAGACATTAAAAATATTGGGTAAAAGTCTGAAGTGAAATAAGATATTTAGACAATCACTATAGTATATGCACTTATTGATTCTTAACAATGAACACCTGAAACTCAGATAACATTATGCAATATTATTTCAATACAATTAGAAATATTTAATCAATATTAAATATATATGTGTATGTATATATATATATATATATATATATATCCAAAGGGGTAGGTTTATTACAAAAGGAGAGAAGAGTAAAGAAAACTTGCACACACAAGTGCGCAGAAAGAGCTGCCCGTGAAGGGGGAAGGTTTGTTTAAAAAGCAGCCTGACAGTAACCGGCAGGTAGCCTTGGAAGGAGAGCTGCTTCCCTGCTCAAAGCAGATTAAATCAGTGCACAAAGTTAAAAGTTAGAAGGGCATTAGTTTGGGGAAGTTTAATTTTAAAAGGGGAACATGGATTTTTTTTTTTAAAGATTTATTTATTTGTGCATACAGAACTGGGGTACAACCCAGAGGCTCAGGGGCGGCGAGAGGCTTCACCAGAGACAGAGTGGGAGCAGAACACGCAGATCAACGAAGTACACTGCTGAGGGGAGCAGCGGGCGGGTCAGAAGAGGTCTGCCACGCCATGTGGTCATCTCCAGGGCAGGTGGGAATCGAACTCATGCAGAAGTGGCTTCAGCTTCCCAGTGCGGTTCTTTAACCCGCTGCGCCACCAGGGAGGGCCAAACATGGAATTTTAAACCCTATCATTGAAGTACTTCCATATACATTGCTGGAGTCAATATGAATTATAATCTTTTGAAAAAGCATTTAGTAATTGTTGTTCTAAGAATTTATGGGTAAAAAAATCTATTGGAAAGAGCTATTGAGAACATTAAGAAAATGTCTGACAACTATATAGCTATTAAGAAGCATGCTTTCAAATACTATTTAATGATACAGAAATACATGTGGGATAAGAGGACAAAAATAACATAAAATGTGTGTATTTTTATTTACTTTTAAAGATTTATTTATTTGTGCATACAAAGCTGGGGTACAGGCCAGAGGTGAAGGAGCGGTAGAAAGATTTACCAGAGACGGAGTGGGGAACAAAACAGGCAGACTGAAGAGTACACTGCTGAGGAGAGAGCTGGCAAGACAGGAAAGGTCTGCTGAACCATGTGGATTACCTCTGGGTCAGGGATCAGCAGCTATGGCCAGCTTGCAGTGCTGTGCCTTAGACTAGCACCACCAGCAAGGGCCAAAACTTGTATATTTAATGATGCAATTGTATTTCTACCTTTAAAGAATTTGTTTGCATTTAAACAAATATATTAAGTTACTACAGTTAACTTATTCATTATATTTACACATGCAAGTATCTGTATATGAACACATACCTATAGCCCACATATCTGTAGGAGGTAGAATATACTAAAAATGTTACCAATGGTTAGCTCTAAACAATTATATGCCATTATCTACCTTAAATCTTTCAGTATTTCCTAAAGCTGAATAGTGAGTTCCTTAAATTTGAATTTCTTTAAAGTTTAACGTTTCCTATCAGCATTTCCTCAGCATTTCAGAACAATGAGGCTATAAATTTTCCTTAAGGGTTGTCAAAAGACAGATATGATTATGTAAGATAGGTTTGAACATATAATATGAAAAATCCTAGTAACATTTTAGATTTTAGGAATATTAATTCTAATACTATTAATAACTCACTGTAACAAAATACTAACCTTCCTTCTAGCATGTTTGTAAAAAGTTTTAGAACTATAAAGTTAGTAAACCATAATACAGAAAAAAATTAAAGTCAACAAAATTTCCACTTGAAGGCTATTTCCTTCCAGTATTTGATTAAATAACTCAACTAATTTTAAGTAGATATTCATACATTTCTGTATCTTTGTAAATCATATTCTAAGTAGGTGATTTTACTACCACTGTCATTGTGTATTCTTACGACAGCAAAGAGCATTTGGATTTCTATACCAAACATTAATACCAATAAAAGTTCACATTTATTAGAAGTATTTAACACTGGGATAATTCCTTTCAAGATTCTAGGATATTTAACTTACTTTGAAGGTATATTTTATTATCACACTTTTTAAAGCATTTAATAAACAGAAAATGTTGCTTTTTGCTTCTAAAATCTAATGATAGTGGAGAGAGACTTGTGATGTGAAAAACAATGAAGTATTCCTTGATTGTGGCAATTAAAACAGACTAGTAAACTTGGTTTGTATTTCTCTTACCTTTGCAGTTAGAATGAGAAGGCAAAATGTCAGAACTGCTGGCATTTTTATAATTTCAAAAAGCAGCTTGTAAGTATCTGTGATTCCTTGAGTTTCTTCTTTTTCTGACACTTCCTTGTTTTCTTTTTTCAGAAGGGCAACTAAAGTTGTTGTTATTAAAAATACAGCTCCCCAGAAAAGAAGGAAATCTGAAATTAAGAATTAATTAGTTAATTTTAATTAATTAATTTTGGGATAGCTTACCTCATTGAAACTAAATAATTCCAAATATAACTTTCCCTCAATCAGGAATGTTTTAAAACATCAACATTTCAGTATCTATCATCTTCAAAGCACTGCACCAGGCACAGGGTAAACAAAACAGTCCTGTTTCTGTTAAAACACACATTCTCAGTCCCAAATACAGTTGTAGTTCTTGACAAAAAAAAAAGGGGGATGAGGGGTAGAGGTTCACACATTTAATGTACAGTTGAGGTGAATAAAAAGCAAAGGTCTGGGCCCTGCCTGGTGGCTCACCGGGTTAAGACGCAGCACTGCAAGCGAGCCGCAGCGGCTTCAATGCCAGTTCAATCACCGTCCCAGAGGTGACCACATGGCGTGGCAGACCCCTCCTGACCCGCCCGCTGCTCCCCTCAGCAGTGTACTTTGTCAGTCTACCTGTTCTGCTCCCCACTCTGTCTCTGGTGAATCCTCTCATCACCCCTGCACCTCTGGCTTGTACCCAGTTCTGTATGCATAACTAAATAAATCTTTAAAAAAGCAAAAGTTTACCATGTCATTTCATTCAAGGACAGTGCTAGGGGCAGGAGATGTTTTTCCTATCCCCTAATATTCATTAGTCATATCTTACATATTGAAGTTATTTCAGTTCTTTATTAAATTATACCAATGTGGACAACAAAGAGTTGATCATTTTTATTAGATTTTCCAACTTTAGTAAACTTTCTAATGTTTTCAATCTGTTAAGAATAGCCTTGCTTTTCAATTCTGTAGATAAAAAGCAATTTCCTTATACCTGTAGGTACACAATGGGGCATATGAAGAATACTGTTTGGGTCGTTTCAGTAAAAGACAGCTGGGTTATTAGTGATTATTTTGAACAAACCAAGAGGAAGGAGTGTATGATATTCTAAAGATATTATATGACAGCTAAAAATAAAAATAAAAGTAAAAATAACAGGCACCATTATTGCCTGCAGAATAAGTGCCATTAATGTGTTAAACATTTTATAGATAATTTACATGTACCTGTCTTGTACTATATACTATACTACTATAATAATAGATTATTATCAGCACCAACTCACAGATGAAGAATTGGGCTTACAGAGATCATGTTGCCTAACATTACAATCTAAGTCAATAGTAAAATTATGAATTTTTTTTAAAAAGATTTATTTTTATTTGCTTATATATACAAAAACTGAAGTATAGGCCAGAGGTACAGGGGACCAGTTGGGGTGGTGGTGAGAGGATTCACCAGAGACAGAGCTGGGAAGCAGAACAGACAGATCTACTGAAACACACCGCTGAGGAGAGCAATGGGCAAACAGGAGAAGACTGCCACGCAATGTGGGTCAGCTCCCTGTCTAGGGATTGAATTCATGCCTCAGTGGCTGGCAATAACTTGATAATAGAGACATTAACCTCTGTTGCCACCTGGGAGGCCCAAAACTTTACACAGGCAGTTTCAAAAACTGCAACTCCATAACCACCCTGAGAGATGCATCTTGGTTTGCCACTACAAAACATTTTTTTTTTAAGATTTTATTTACTTGTGTATACAGAGCTGGGATATAGGCCAGAGGTACAGAGGCGATGAGAGGATTCACCAGAGACAGAGTGGGGAGCAGGACAGGCTGACTGATGAAATAAACTGCCGAAGGGAGCAGTGGGCAGGTTAGGAGAGGTCTGCCACGCCATGTGGATCACCTCCAGATCACCTCCAGGGCAGGGACTGAACTCATGCTGATGTGGCTTTAGCTACTTAGTGCTGTGCTTTAACCTGCTGTACTACCAGGGAGGGCCCCAAAACTTTTTTTTTTTAAGGTTTATTTATTTTATGCATACAGAACTGGGGTTTAGGCCAGAGGAGCAAAGGCAGTGAAAGAATTCACCAGAAACAGGATGGAGAGCAGAATAGGCAGACTGACAAAGTACACTGCTGTGGGGAGCAGCAGACAAAACAGGAGAGGTCTGACTCACCATGTGGGTCACCTCCTTGGCTGGGGATTAAAGGGGATCAAACTCGTGCTGAAGTGACTGAGACTAGCTACGTAGTGCTGTGCTTTAACACACAGCGCCACCAGGGAGAGCCCACCACTACAAAACTTAGTGACAACCCTATTTCATCTCCTTTAGCTACAACGTAGGACAATCTGGTAAGAAATTACCTGATGCTTTCTAGCCCTAGAACTGAAGAACTGTACTCAGTTTATATGTATTTACTCTTTATTTAATTACTCCTGTAGCATAACTAGCTATTCATTGAACCAAGTAAGCTTTTTTCAGAAACAGAGCATTCTTCAGCCAGAACCTTCCTTTGTATTGAATCTGCTGTGCTAGAGTAAAGAGATCTCTACAGGTTGAACCTCATTTAAGATGGAAATAGAGCATTATTTTTCACATTGTTATCATTTCTGTATAAAACAGTAAAGCTCACTTTACTGTTTAATGCTCTTTTAAATGTTACCTCACTTGACCTTCATAGTAAATATGTGAGCCAGATACAGCAGACATTATTACAATGTAGGAATAAGGAAAAGAAGCTTAGAATACTTTGATTTCTGCCAAAGGTCAAACTCAGAGGCAGAGGGAGAACTTGAAACTAAATCTTCTGAATTTGGGCTTCTTATTCCTCCTATTATCTCACACTGACTACATAGAGATTTAGAAATATTAATGTTAAAATAAAATTCTACTAGAACCTGGACAATTACTTAGTTTTCACAAGTCTAATCCAAAACGAGGTTCTGATATCCAAATCATGCAAATTATAAGTTAAAATGCTTATACAATGAAAATTTGTATTCTGGGTGAATTCTTTTTTCACCATGGAAAGTTTATAATTAATTTCACTATCTGATGAAACATTATTAAATACAAAAGTAACCATTTTTAAAACACAGCAATACATTAGCGTTTTTGATTGAATATCAGAACACATAATTTCTAGTTTATATTAATAAAGTATTTTCAATTCAAGAAGAATGAACGGGGCCTCCCTGGTGGTGTAGGGGTTAAAGTCTCAGCATTAGCAAGCAATTGTCAG